TCTCCCCAAAACCCCAAAACCCCAAAACCCCAATACCCACACATATGAATTTAAAGATATGAAAGAAGCCGTTAATTAATTTGAATTTATTGACATTTAAAGGAATACGAATATGAATTTTTGAAAAACATACCTGGAAAAATGTAGATAAAATATAAGATTATGGTAATTAAACTATTAGAACATACAACTCATTCCGAGTGTCTATTAATTAGAAATTGACAGCTAATTGTTTCGTAGTCTAATAGGAATTTTCCAAATATGCCTCATTAAACGGCTATTTCGCCATCTAATCAGACTGCTTTCAAAAATAGCCTCAATGACGGCTTACTGCATTTAAGGTTGAAAATGTAGAAGGGTTTGCTCCACCATTATTCCTAGAAGTACTTATTACCGAATCTATAAATGGGGCTCTGATTTGTACTTCGAAAGAGCTTCCAATAAAGGCTATCATAACAATTGCAATTTTAATGATTCTTAGCATAAGTGTTTTTTTAATATCTATTATATATATATAATCATCAATATCTATTATAAATAATCACTATAATACACATAAGAATTATCTTTCAGGGTTTAAACACCAACTAAATAATTAGTAATGGTATGATACTTAAGCATGTCTAGAATTCAAATTTTTAGCCCTAAGTTCTCGTATGATTAATTAGGCAAATAGAATAAATGCACAACATTCAGTCAGTTGATGCAAAATATGAGTTTTTCGTACATTAAACAATTGAGAGCGTGAGGCAGAAGCGAAACCTGACTCACAGATAAACGACCTTTTGGGATGCATTGGTGACCCTTTATCGATATGTTTGAGATTCTCAAAGTCTTCTAAATTGAATTCGAGGTGCCAAAAAGTCTCCCTTTGGGTATACCAAAAGGGTCAGGAACACAAACATTTTTGCAGTTTTCTCTTTGGTTTTTGGTCTGCCACTGGCTCGGTGTTTGAAGTTTGGAAAACACTTTTAATGTTAGCGCTTTATAATAATTAATATTTAAAGTCGTGGTCGAGACCAAATGTGGTTTTGAAGTCGAGGACGGTAGTAATGAAGAGGAAGACTAACTAAGAATGAATGAGTAGGCCAAAGAGACAAAGTTTCTTAATGATGATGATAACAACAAATAAAGAAGTATTTTGGTGAATGATTAGTGAATTAAGAGATTATTATTTGTTTAAATTTTTTACACTCAAACATCGAGTGTTATTGTTGTTGTCGTTATTTTTGTAGTTATACTCACTACTAGAGTAATTGTGTCTGTCTCTTAGCGCTCTTTCCTTAGTGTTTAGTGGTCACTTTCTTAAACATTGCCAGTGTCTATGTAGTCTCTGATTTCTTGCCGATTATCTCGACATAAGTGAACTTCACTCTGCTGCATTTGTCTCTGAATCTTCCCACTCTTTTAAAGCCTTGAATAGCTTTCTACTGTTAACACTGCTCTTAGCAAGAACAAGAGTCATAGGAATAAACTCTGATCTGTAGTCGAAGTCATTCATTCCAAGTATATACTCTGATACGATGATGGTATAATGCTCAGTGTCAAAATTCAAACATGTCTAGTTGACGAAGGCGTTCATAGTCAACTCCTGCTTCAATCATAACAGGAGGAATACCAGCATCAATGATTGCAATAGTAAGTTCTTTATAACAGTATACTAGCAATGGTGATAACTTGGCAAGCTCTTTGATGTGAATAGCTTTCTCTTCCATTGTGTTTTCTTTGTAGTTCACTACAACCATTAGTGCACCAGTTTTATCTATGATTGCAGCATCATTGAACGAGTAGGAGTATAACTCGAATTTCAATCCCGCAGAACCTTTTCCTCCACAGTGCTATTAGCAGAGGTAGCAGTGAAACATATACAGGGAGAGTTTTAAACAAACAGCTTGAACTTGGGTGGATCCTCAAACATGAATTAGTCTGCTTCATCCACAATAATGAGGATTTATCAATTGGTTCAAAGTCAATACCAACATTATATGATATCATGTCCACACCCTCAGTCACAAACTGAGAGAGATTTCAAAGTCTTTCATATCTCTCTCCTTTAGTTTCTCATTAGGGAACACCATATGGATCTTAGTAACTGATCCCCACAACAAAGCAGTCATAGCAATACCAGCAGAGATTCTTGACTTACCTTAGCCAGAAAGAACAACCCATAGTTACCGTGTAATAAAACTGTAGAGTTTAGCAACGCAATATTAAGCGAGAGTGAACTACTTATTGTTAGACTTGATATCGATATTTTCAAGTATCATATTGAAAATATCATCATCACTCAATGTGATATCATCCTTTAAATCAGTCAGTTGATCATACTTTGCTTGTAATTCATCCTGGAAGTGTTGAATAAAAACTGCATCAACAAAATTAAAAGTAGTCTTTATTGCTTCTAATATCTCCACCCATTGATAGATAAAACTTTGCTTGAGTTGTGCCTGAGTCTTCTTTATTGACTCTTGGCTCATTTTACTAGTCATTAAGTTTATTAAATCTTGTAGAATATCTAGCTAGATGGTTGGTTGTACTGGCCTTGCTAGTTTATTAGTTACCAGCATACATGAATACTCTCTCATACTTATGTGAAAACGTTAAGCATATTATACAAAGTCTCTGATGCTAGGCTTTTAGACCACGAGAAACTATGTTAATACATCAGGTATTACTTCTTACCCAGATGATTTGAAATACTTAAATATTCCTATCTAATGATCAGTGCTTTACTTTCAGTATTATTCTAACAACTTAGCAGTATTCGAGTTATAGTTAGTGGGGAGATACAAAGAGAGCTTCAATATAAGAGCTTGTCTATTTTCTTGGGTTGTCATAGTTAGTGCACTCTTAACACTATACAAGCACGATTATCTAAGAATGAAAGCAGAAGCAATCAGTCCTATCATCTAATGATGAAGCAACGCATCAACACGGTTAAGTAATTTGTTTATGAAATCGATAAGCTGTGTGCATCTGTAGGTGGAAATACATTTCTCGGCGTATTTATATATAAACAGATGGCATACATCAAGAACGTTATTATAAGGATAACAATCCTGTCTGAAGATGTGTTTACAAACTGTAGAGCATTAGAGAGAATAATTTTTTTTTATTTTGAAGTCACTAAACTCTTAACAGCAGATATATCATCATTCATCTTAATGTCTGAAGGAACTTGAGCAGTGAATGTAGTCTATATATCTGTTTCAGCCGCAGTAGTATCTAAATTTTGAATGAAATCACCAGCATCAGTCTTACTCCTCTTATTACGACCTTTACATTATTTAGTTAGAGATTTCACTTCTCTATACTCCTTCATATCATTTTCCTATATATCCATAGGAACATCTTATTATTTTTCTATTCTAATTGATTATGATTTGAGCTACTTTAACATAGACAATGATATAGTTTGCTACTCGTGCTAGATCATTTCAACTGGGTGATCTTCAGTATCACTAACATAACTGAGAAAAGACTCAGACCTATTTCTCTTATTTGTTGTCTTCTTCTTTTTTGGAAACGCCTTCTTGGCACATACATCACAGACAGCCGGATTAAGAGATTTTAAGTAATCTCTTCTCTTGTCCACTTTGTCTCTTCCCATCTACTTGATTTTATCATATTATTGTTCTCCTAACTCGATTTCATAATAGAGCCAGTTAGTTATCTTGAACAGGTGTAGTCCAAGATAGATTATCAACATACCCATCAACTTAAACCCCAGAAAAGATGAGCAGAAAGTATCAAAGTTTTTAATAAAAGCAAAAAATCAAAACGACAAGCCTAGGTCCTTTCAAGAACTGAGATCTCATTAACTTTTAATAAGTAGATTTTCTAATTGAGTAAAGATTTTTTATAGGTTGATATAAGATTGCATGTATAATTACAGACTCCAATTATCATTTGAACGATAAAAATATATATTATTTTTCTTGGAGCTTGTCTTAAATTGAAATTCATCCTTGGGGTTTTGGGGTTTTGGGG